GAGAGAGAGAGAGAAAGTGAGGAATGGCTTAGGCAGGGTAAGTACGGCAAGGAAGCTGAGGTATCATGCTGGAGAGCGATTTTGCCACGATACATGGCATGAACAGCATAGCATGATGGGCGGAATGGAGCTCGGGCGCGGCCGCTCCCCCCGAGCCCGGGGGTTCGTGACCTTAGTAAGTATGGCGAGTACCGGTATCACACTCCATTGTTTCGTTTGATGCACAGGATCCCTTTCGACTTCCTCGAATAACTTGTATGGGTAAGCATCGTCATCATCATCATCTCGATCAGAGCCTTTCAGCAGCACCAATGCTACTCGTACCCCTACACTCCGGAACAACCGGCACCTTCCTATTGCCCCAACATAATTATCATGTGCCCGCTGCAACACGCATCCCGACCAGAACCAACCCAAATTGACCAGCCAGCTAAAAAGATAATTACGATAAGCGACAAAAGCAAGCGGAATAACTCCCAGCTTCCAGCAGCCGGAACATTTCTCCAATTCCAATTCTCACCTTTTTAATTTTTTTTTTTACTATCCTTTTTTTCTCCCCCCTCCATTCTTCCTTTCTTTTTCCTATTTTGCCTCTTCAATTTTACCTAGTACCGGTAGTATTTCACTCTCCAAAACGTCGGCGCGCCGCTGCCGATTCTTCCAGACCAGACCGCGGCGCGCACGGCGTGTTTTTGGGTTCTGCTTTTTTTTTCTTCCTCCTCTCCCTCCCTCCTTCTCCTTCCCTCTCTTTCTGTCTATCGACAGCGCAGTGGAGAGGGAATTCGGCGGTGGGGAGAGCTGGTGAACCATTGCAGTTGGTTGATTAGTTGGGGATCTAGCTGGTATTGTTGACTTTGATGGCGGTCTCCAATCTCGTGCTGTGAGTTGGATTATTAACCCGAGAGTTTTGTTACGCTATGCTATTATTCCACTGCCAGCGTCTAGCTCAGCGCATAGAATAGTTGTACGCATATAATAGCCGCAAGCATAAGTAGGAATTTACATCCTATCAGCCTAAGATATTCTCCTGCACAAGCACCAGCAGAGTACTCGCACAGTGTTCTTGTCCAACCCCATTCACCCCATTCCAGTATTCCCGGGAGGAAGGGAGGGACAAGGAAACAAAGGAAGAATCCAAGCGCCCAACTCATCCCAACTCTAGATTCTGGAACCAGATCGGACCGTGACTCGCCAGCCAATCAACTAACCAGCCAACCAGAACACGGCATGTAATAATTGGCGGTCAGTAGCAGACATAAGTACTCGTGCAGTACCGGTACAAGTGCGTGCACCCTCCAGAAAGTTGGCAAACGGTTAGCTCAGGTTAACCCGCAAAATAATACCCGTCTCCTAGGAAAAACATCTCCCGGGTACTCGCACCATTTCCTGGTCGCAGAATGCCATCATACAGCAGTAGCATGGTAGCCACGAGATCAAATCCCTCTTCCCCTTGTACTGGAGTACATACCCTACCATCTATGATACAAGTCCCATCCCATACATAGATGGCTCAAGCCTCAGGGTCCACCCTACCTACCCTGTCCGACTTCCCACCCCTCGCTCCCTCCCGACTCACCCGAGATGTGCTCGTACTCGTGAGTAAGCACGGGATGCGGGATTATTGACAGCGGGGGCGAAAGTGCCCTTCATCCCTCTCCCCCCCACAACCGATCGTCTGAAGAAGAAGAAGGGGGAAAAAGGGAAATCCCCTTCTAGAACATCCACGCCCTATATTCTCCTTGGGTAGGCCTATCAAACACCACGCTCTTGGCGACAAAACCTTTCGGATACCATCGCGACTTCTCCGTAGGCATGATAGGAAATATACTGGTAAAATTGAACACGGCGCGGGAAATATGGCGTCGAAAGAGTGAAACCTCTGCACGGAATGGCCTCGCTCCCGCTCATCGTGAAACTATGGAAACAAGCGCAGTCGGCGGTCGTTATGCTTTAAACTTTTTTCTGACTTTTTTTTACAGTGGGAAACCCTTTCTGTGTGTTAGTCTGCTGCCCTTTGAAAGTGGTATTATATTTGTTACGCGCCAAGAATACCAAGAGGATCTCCGTCACTCGATTCGTCTAGGGAAATTGTAGGAAATTTTTAGGGGAATACCGGCAGGTTCGGGTGGTTCCCGAAGTTTTTTCCAATTTCTTCTCGGTGCTGTTTGAGGGATAAAAAGTGGATAAATGTTTTGTTTGTTCGTCGCAATGCGATATCTCATGGATGTCAAGTCTCTGCCAAGAGTTGTATTACCGTATTTGTGTCCCGCATAAACTTTCTAAAGATGAGACAAGGGTTTTTTTTTTTCTCTCGCCCCCCAGGCGGTTGTGAGACAATACCGGGAGCCGTGTTTTCGGATGCAAATTTATTGCCATACCGGTATTCAGGTAGGTACCCCTGTTTCCTACGGTGATTGAAAGATTTTTTTCCATATCTCGACAAAGGCGGAACCGAAGTGCAAATGCATAGGTACGCTCCGAAAGGAAAAAGAACGAAAAAAAAACCTCACAATCTCACCCATTCCTATCGCAAGCCACCGCAGCAGGCCAGCAAGCAGGCAGGAAGGCAGGCAAGCGCAGCGGGATGCGCCGACATTCCCAACCTCCCTTTCCCCACGTACTCGTACTTGTACCGTACTCGAGTACTGGTACAACGTAACAGGTAATAGCGTCATAACGGCCAAAGAGGGAAGGCACACCTTGGCGCTTGGAGATTCTGCTTTTGACGGGAAGAGAAGAAAGAAAGGGTCGGAGATGAGGGAGGGAGAGTTTGTGTGGTGGGGGGGGGGGGATTCCGCCATTTTTGCCTGGTTCGGTTGGGGAGAAGGAGGGAGGGGAGTTGGCCGATGTGCCAGGTGAGTTAGAATGCGGTAGCGGTAAGGCATGAAAATGGATAATAGGGTCGGATCGATGGGTGTTTGCCCATTCTAGAATTATCCCGAACTCTTAGCCTAGTTTAGGGATACCGGTACGGCAAGACACGCCAAGATTTCCCTGATACTTTTGGGCTGGCTGGGCATGTATCACAGCTATTCTCAAGAACACGGTAATTTTGGTATGATAGCACGAGGCACGGAGTGTCATGCATTTGTATGAGCTTCTCCTCATGAGGTGAGAGAAGAGGGACTTTCCTTGCTCTCATACCGCTACTCTACTGTGCGGGTACAGTACAAGTAGAGCCATTGCACAGGAACGGGCTTGAGGGTTCGGGTCCAAGTAAATAAATGATTGGAAGACCAGGCACCACTCTATGATACCCGCTCTGCTCAGCCCTTCCAATTGCCCGAAGGAAAGCCTCCGGGTATGATTGATTCTCGGCCGTGCCACTATCGCTGTATTGTGTGGTTCTCGCTGGTTCCGTCGCGATACCTGCAGCCTTGGGGCCGGGATACCCGCATAGCAACTCAACCAGCGAGAGGTACCGGTACTCTACTCGAGTATCCGCACTCATGATACTGCACTTTAATTCCTACGGTGCGCTTGCTCCACTCTGCAAACCCCATCTCTCTCTACCCGTACCGGTGTTCGGCCATTCCTCCTCCCAAGACCGGATCATTTCCTATACGATATGATGCCCCACCCCGCATCCAGGCCTCCCCTCGCAGAGCACCCCACCGTGGAGTAATAGATTCTCCGTAGCGGCTATCCCCGCACCAATGGGGAGCCTCACCGTGCGGGTTCACATCCGGTATGTGTGCTACGGTTCGAAGGGTTCGCCGCGGTACGTGGTGAGACCTCTTGGCTCACGGCACGATTTCACTGCTGGTTTAGCGAATCCTATTGATAAGAGGTTAATGCTACAAATAGAAAAGTGCGGGGCGCCGTTAGCTTGAAAATTTTTCAGCGCTAGTGTTTGTTTGTACTGCACTTGTACCTTTCTTGTCATACTCGAGTACTGGTATCGTGCTATTGAGCTCGACCCTGTGCCGACTACAGTACCTCTGAACCACCCAGGGCTGGTACCAGTCAGTGCCTCATCTTTCCGTTCTCGCGCTTTATGAGCTACGAATCTCCCGTCCGAACCGTGCTGAACCGGTGTGGTGGGGCCTCCTGGTCTCATCGCAGCCAACTTGGCCCTGTCACTTGTGAGAAGGGAGAAAAAAGGACCTCTTTTTCCGAACAAAGCCAGACCAGGCCGAACCCGTCTTGTCTTGTCTGCACATTGATACTATGCAGCTAAGGAATCCATTTTTCCTCCTCCGCACTGGGCAACTGGGGTCTATTGTGGAACAGCCGTCACTTTCGGCTTACCTCTTGGCTCACGGTGAGCTTCCCGGTCCTCGGCCACCGGTGCAGTGTTTTCCACGGTCTAATACTCGTACAGTTTGCTACAGTTTGCCGAGAGGTAAACCAAAAGTGACGATTTCCCCGTCCAAGACTCCATCACACCGGTCTTCATGGATCCGCGCCAAGAATTGGCACCGTTTCCGGAATAGCCACCGGTATTTTAGGCCTGGAGAACGGGCGAAGGGGTGCCAATTCCTGGCTCGGAGACGAGCACCGGTTCTTGAGTACCGGTAGTCGTATCTCCGCGCCAAGAGTTGGCATCCTCCTCGCACTGGCTACGGTACTGCCGGTGCAAGCCCATGGAAGGGGCAACCGGATGTCTATAAGTGCTTGGCTCCGAGACACGGGCACCCTGGGGGATCGAGGTAATTTCCATTGACACTGTAGGCTTGGCTTTCCCCCACCGATGGTTTTCGGTAACGCAATCACCAAGTGTTGCAATGGTTTACTTTATTGCGTTGGAAGGTACGGTAATTCTAGTAGCACCTAGAAGAAATCTTGCTGTTCGGTCCCTAAAATCTCAAAACCATGTGACCTCTTAGTACCTGTAGAGACGGTACTCGTGCTCGTACATATTGGCATAATGCCCGCGCAGATCCTCCTGTCTCCGAGCCAAGAATTGGCACCCGCCCGCCCGTTCCACGGGCCTGCGCAGGGAGTATCATACCGGCAGTTATTCCGGAAAGGGTACCGATCTTTGGCGCGGGGACAGGTGTAGAGGGCCAGAAATACCGTAGGCGGTTTCAACAGCTCAACCTCGAAGTGAATCTTGCGGTAAATGTCCGCTCGGGGGCCTGGTATGGTGTAGCATAGCACAGAACTCGCGAGTTGGTCCACTACACGCCGCCCTACCTCGCAAATCCGTCTTTCCTTTTCTTCCTCCTTTTTTTTTTCTTTTTTCCTTTTTCTTTTAAAAAAGGGTCCATCTGATGCCTCGCACAATTTCTTGGCAGTACGGCACATAAACGGGTGTTTCACCCGTTTCATCAGTATCATTCCTATGCCAAGGCCTCCTAAAGTCCCGATCCTTGGCGCCGATGTTCTGGTACCTGCATCATACTTTCTGATGCCGTATCTTTTGAAATTTCCGGTGTCTTGGACGGGGCTATGTCCTCTTTATTATGTCGGACTGCTCTGCTGGTATGGTGCCTGGAGACGTGCCGTGTTGTTGATGCTGTACTGTACGACTACGGGTACATGTATCATGGAAAGTATCGTATCAGTTTAGCTTCAAATTGTCCTGTGTTGTACTAGTAAGTACTGTGCTGGGGCGGTTGGTCAGTCGACTCGAGAAGGAAGTAACTTACCGGCAATTCACAGTCGATACGAGTATCGTGATTCCGATTGTTATTGTGATATCATTCGACCGGAGAGCCACCACCGTCATGCTCATCACCAAGGAGCCATAGTCAACGCCAGCAGGGCAAGATGAGATACCGGTACTCCACAATATCAAAGAGTACTAGTACAAGTTTGTTCATACGAACCATACCCGAGTATAAGCAAGACCTACCCAAGCGAGGAAGGAAAGTCGACCGAAATAATAAAGATCCGTGGTTATTCGGAGATGTTCAGCTGTAGACCAGGGAGTTTGTCCACTTGGCAGCATAACTTCTCCATCAAACTAACGGGTATTCCGCAGTAACTTAACAAGTGGGGGATTCAATCCCCGTATATACCTTGGCGCGCATCCCATCTATCGCCTTTCCGCCGGCCTATTTCCAAGATGGTGTTGATGGAATCGTACGGTGTCGTCTGGTGTACCGATAGCGGGATTGGAAACGGTGGGAATACCGTACCGTGCCGCGCCACGCCGCGCCGGGTATCATAGGAGGAGGAGGAGTGACAAGTATCATAAGTGGGAAATTATGGAAGAAGCACGACCCGGCGTTGCACAGTGTTGAGGGTTCGTATGATAGACTGCCCTAATATTCGTGCCCTGGTAAGCTGCAGGAATCGTCGTCAGGGTCCTACTCATGCCAAAGTGACCATTTTCCCTGCCCTGTGGTAACGCCGTGTCCGCTTCAACTAGTTATATATATTAGGCCGTCGTGCGGGCTTCATAATGCCTGAGTTTCAGCTAGATGAGTGTCTTGTGTTGCTGGGTGGTTCGCCTGTGAAAACTGTAAATTTCCGATAGTGTAATTTTCTGTGGGCGTCCGTGCAAAATCAGGGCTTGGCGCGAATGTTGCGACACCTTGAGCTTCTCCTGCTTGCGCAATGGACGGCTCATGATCGATTGGGGGTACTGTACCGGGAGGGGAGGGACGTGTACTCGAGTACTTGTGCTGATTCACCGAGTTCCTGGATACACACGGCTGGAATTTTCCTAGAGTGGAATTTCGCTCATTTTGGCATGATATATTTTCACGGGTACCGTACAGTGTGCCGCCCGACCGACTATGATCCACCCATGTACTGTACAAGGGCTATATAAATGGATAGATTGGTGATAGGTGGTTTGACAGATAGACGGATAGAGTTTGAAGAGAGAAGAGAAAAGGAACCCCTAGAGTAAAAAGGAAGAAGGAAAGGAAAGGAGGGGGTAATATGCAGTGCTATGATTCCAACTCGATGGAACGGAAAAGAAAGGATGTGGAAAGGAAGAGCGTCGTATGTTCGACCATGTTAGGGGGGATGGGAATACTGCATTACCCACTCTCGCCCCCTCAACCAGTGTCATTCGTACTCATGTCGCCGGATCAAAGTCGCATTTTTTGGGTGCATCACCACCAAAAAGGGAGCCACTTCATTCCGGCGACACGTGCACTGTGGCCATCACAGCGTTATGTATCTGTTCGACTCAGCCAAACTCAATTGAACCCTCTCATTCAGCGCTTTTTCCAATTCAATTCGATTCAATTCGCACCTTACTTGCTTCCACCGACGACCATCGCTAGAAGTGAAAAAGGAAAGGAGAGAAGGAAAGAGGTAAAAAAAATTGTCACAAAAGAATATTTGAAAAAAGGAACAAGCAGGGAAAAAAAAAGGAGAGTAACAATAGCAGCAGTAGTGGGGGAAGAGAAAGAAAGAAAAAAAAAAGAGTACTAGAAGAACTAAAACTAAAATCAAGTTCAAGGTCAAGTCAAGCTTCTGCTCTCCATCCGGAAAAACCATAATACCATTAACCCCCACACCCTTCCCCTCCAGCCCACCTCAGCTAGCCAACTAACCCCAACATCACAAACTACTTTTTTCTCCGCTTTCCCTTTTTTTTTTTGAAAGGAAAAAAGAAACACTTCCAAGCCGATCCGCTCCATCCCACTACCTCTGGTTGGGAAAACCAGGATACTGATACCCGGGAGGCATATTTGGCGGCATCATTCCCATTGGGAACGGAAGACCTGTGCCGAAGCCTGGGGTTGGGGGTGCCACGCCGATATTGCTGTCGCGACCGGTACGATCGTGAAGTTCGCTATAATCGTTGCGCTTAGTACGAGGGGGGTCACGCTGGGTGGTGCTGCTGCCGCCGGTGTTGTTGCTGGCGCTGCTGTTGGTGTTGTCGTGTGAGGAACGAGGCCCTTTGGCTCCACCAGAGTCAGTGGGGAAGCGTTTGGATATGGCTATGGGTACACATCCGTGTAAGTTATGGTTGTTCTTCTTCCACCCCCGTTTTTTCCGCTGCAGGTTATGGCTGTGGCTATTCGGAGGGTAGTTACCTTTCGAGGACACACCTTGGCCTATTTCAATGTCGGGCTCTTCCACACACATGCCCCCTTCGAGAGGTCGGCCTCCGGTGCCGCCATATTCTGCTGAAACCATCCATCTCTGATCCGCATCAGTCAGACGGTCGATTGGGATGACGCTGATACCCGTTTGGTAGTCGCTGCAGTCACGAGGGCCGTAGCCGACTCCCCATCTGGTCTGTAGAAGGAAATAGTCAGCCTTGAGCTATCTCTCATATGGGTGAATAAAAGGTGGGGCAAGTAGGTTAACCTACCCTTATGGTCATGTTGTCGGCTCTGTATGTCTCCATTCCCTGGCGGGCCTTGACAGCGTCCTGGCGGGTAAGCATCTTGATAAAAGCGTGCCGTTTCTCTTGATTGACTATACAAGATTGCACGTATCCATGCTTCTCAAAGAGTTTTCGGAGCTCATCGTCGGAGATGCTACTCAACATTAGTTCAACATATACATATAACACGGGATATGTGTTTTTCTTTTTCTTTTGTCTCAACTTACGTTACACCGCCTACAAACAAGGTTCTGCTGAGCACTGCAGCGATATATTAGCAAATAGGATGTAGACAAAAAATGGGAGCTTCCAATAAGCGAGAAAGGAATATTCCTCGATATCAGCCTACCTTTAATATTATTCGGCCCGATCGTGGGGTCAAATTCGACATGTTTGGGAAACTTGGGTAACGCGGTAGGAGTAACATTACGTTCGGCTTGGCCCTTCCCATTTGCGAATCTGGGCGGGGTTCTGCTACGATCCCTGCGACCGCGAGGGGATCCTCCCCTGCGTCCGAATCCCCCACCGCCACGACCTCTGCCGCCGCGATTACGCTCACCTTCACGGCCACGAGAATCATTGCCTTCATATTCACCATACACCGGACTGCGGCGCCTGAAAGCTGGTGGTGAGCGACCACCGCCAGCGCCACCACCACCGCCGCCTCCGCCGCCGCCACGATCAAATCTGTTTGGCGATCTAGAACGAGACCTTCCGCGCCTCGTGTCTCTGCCATAGCGTGGCGGGGAGCGGGACGGGGGGGAATAATGTTCACGACTCCTCTGGCCTCTACCATACCCGTCATCATTACCTCTAGGGGGATCTTGCTGGTTTTGTCCTTGGGCAGCACTCATTATTTGTGTCCATGCTGGCAGAACGGCACCTAGGTCGGCGCCAGGGCCGCCTTGCCCGGAAGCTAAGTTTCCAAATGATTGCGTCAGTTGAGGGAGGTTCACTCCTCCATGTTGGAGAAGCAACTGCAAAAGTGCCATCTGTTCTATCCCCGCAGGCGCAGCACCTTGTTGAGGCATAGGCGGTGGGGGGGGGGGCTGCGGGGGGAAATTGGGAAACTGCCCCTGACCAGGCTGCCCCAAGAACATCCCACCCAATTGATTTCCCATCATCGGAATAGCACCAGCATTTGGGTTTTGACTAGGGGGAGCAGAGGTGTACGGCATTTGAGCCATGGGAACTTGACCCTGTTGAGGCTGCGATACAACGAGCGAACTTGCATTTTGGGATAGATTGGGCATCCCACTGGGTTGCGGTTGAGGGGTCGGCGCGCTATACTGTGGGGCCGGGGTCGGTGTCTGCTGCTGAGAAGGAGCCTGCGACGGCATAGCAGTCTTATTCTGCTTGGCCATTTGGGCCAGAGCCTGTAATATACCAGCTGTAGCCGACGCATTTTGCGACTGCGCATTTGGGATCACGGGTTGTGGGGTCTGGTGAGCCTGCGGTGGTTGGTACACGGGGAGGTTCTGTATCTGACCGGCAAGGGACTGTAGATGAGGTGGCGGTGAGCCGGTAGGAGTTGTCGAGCGAGCATCTACAAATAAGCCGGGGAAGGAAACCATCAATTTCATACGAACTTCTTCCGAGAGATACAGAAAATGGCCAGGGGCCGCCTGTTGGGGGAAATATGAGCTTACTCAGGACAATTGACATGGGACTCGCAGTGATCCTCTGCTTTATATCCGCCAAAACCTCGGGAGGGAACGTGGAACTGCGCTCCCAAATCGTTACCAGTTTATCTATCTTATCCTAGAACACACACAATCTCTATGTAAGTCGGATGCCTCTACACTTATGCAAGCAGGCGCTGTGGTCTTCAAAGCGGTGAAGGGAGAAAGCAATGATAATAGTAATGTGGAACGGGGGGTATTTTATCCGCGTTGTCAAGAACTGATTGATACAACGGCTCGATGGCCAAGGGGGGAGTAGGAGAGGAACATGATAGACCGTTATTTCATCCAGCTGAGGACTACTTTTGGGATAATGCCCCTCTTTCGTTCTTCAAATTCTTCGTTGGAAGATAGCGTACCTTATTCTCATCTGGAGGAGCATTTTGTAGAATATCATTCATTAACGCGGGCAGCAAATTGGTGATTCTATGCACCCCAGCGCCAAATGTACCATCAGGTGCGGCATGAGATACTGGCTCATGCAGCCTCTTTGCCTGTTCAAGATACTTCCGGGCGATAGAGTCTACGACGTAGAGAGGGCCTAGTTTATGTGTTCCAGGGCACTTCTTAAAGTGCGTGTAGACCTTTTGAATGATGACTGATTCAGACTAGAGAGATATGATAACGAATGTCAGCAACCGAATATTCGCTTCTACAACGCAAATCTACTTTTTTTGTGAGAGATGTGATGATCTGCCGTTAAAAACAATAGGAAAAAGTACCTGGACATTTCTTAAGCTTAGTTCTGTAATTTGATTGATTTTCGTACCCGATACACCGGGTGCCTTTGTAGCCTGCATGGCTTGGAGAGCATTCTCCAGCTCAGTCACCACCGCAGACATTATGGATTCGATGATCTTGGAACTCTCGTATGCAGATTACTCGCGGGGGGAGAGATGAGGAAGGGGATGAATGTGTAAAGGGGAAGGGAGAGAAAAGGCCCCCCGGGACTCAGTAATGTTGACGATGGATGACGCGTACGATTGATTGCTTTTCAAACGAGAGCCTCAAAAAAAAGCTGTCGCGCGACTAATTTCCTTTGAAAATTCCCCTTTGCTTTAGGTCTGTTTGTCTCTCCCTCTCCTTGATATCCTGTACTGTACGTGTATTGTGTGTATCTCTCTCTCTCTCTCTGGTTCTCCCTCTACTCGATGAAACCTCCGTCTAGCAAACCGGTAGGAGGGGTGTACGGTAGATTACTGCGTGCACAAAGCAGACAATGGCCGGCAGAGGGATGTTATATTTTTAAGCGGGAGTCGGGTCAGACTTTTTCCTATTGCTTATTTACCAGGAGGATAGGAAAGTCAAAGTATCAAATCCACAAGTCAGGAAAAGGGTAACAAAGGTTCGAGGACGATGACGACGGATGATGGGTGGATGTAGTGCACGCGTGAGGATGTGTGGTGAAGGTCAAGAGAGTCGATCGGAAAAGGAGCGACGCGAGGAATGGATTCTTCCCGGGAAAATTAAGAAAGGAGGTACGGATCAGGAGATGACTTGAGGTGACTTGAGGTGAATGATGGTAGGCGGTGGTAATAGTATGGAGAGAGGGAGGTAGGGGGCAGAAGGGGAGAGAGTGGCTGCTCTGCCTGTCGCTGCGGGGGGTTACGGCGCGGGTTGATGGTTGGGAGATGCAGGAGGAGAGGAAAGTTGGGGTGAGGGGGTTATTCCAGAAAGTCCCGTGCGATGCAAGGTTTGTCAGGCTGCGATGGTTGGTGTGCTGCTTAGTCAGTCGGGCAGCTGGGCCCAAACAGCATCCGACGGGAGGCAAAGAAAGAAACTCGACACTTGGGAACCGTTCAAGTTCACGAATTGGTGGCCTTTTCTCTCCCTTTTCTTCTTTTCCCTTCTCGCTCCTGCTCTTTTCTCGCCGAGTCCCCCGCCCCGGCCCGAGACGAACTGGGCACGGTGACAATTGGCCAACTCCACGGCCCCCTAATTTTGTCTCTGATAGCGTGCAGCGCTAATGTTGGCGTTTGTGCCGTACCCCACAGGACTGCACCTTTCGTTTGCTGGACGGTTCTGAGGCCCGAAGTGCGCTGAACAGCCGGTGTCCACGGGAGGACCAACAAGAGCTCTCTATTTGATGCCTCCTTTATCATACCATCCTCTGCATACAAGTAGCACGAAGAACCAATTACATCCAGCCGTCACAGATCTAAGTGTAAGACTGTGTTAAAAGCCATCGCAGCGCATCTACTGAACGGCGGCGAGCTCCACCTTTTTGTTGAGGCTCTCCGGTACTTCTCTCCCAAACCTTTTAGGCTCAACAGAAGGAAACCTCTCCTCTCCGCCGACAGAGAGAAAAAGAAAAAAACCGCCCCCCCCCAATGCCAAGCACGATACGGTACTGCAAACATCCTCTGTGGGAGAAATGGACTGAATCGGAAACAAACCAAGAACGCTATCGAGAATGATTTTGTAAAGCAAGGCAGAATAGGGGCTCCTTGGCTCCGGTTTAGATGCCAAAACACTTCCGGTACGGTATCTTCCAATCATTTAGATCTCGTTGATGCTGCGATCCAACCTAAGTTAACACCGCAACAGCTCCGTACCGACACTCTCGGCGCCTTGAGGGAAACAATCATCTCCGCGTGAATTATTCCCCGCTCCCGCATCATCTGGAGGGGGAAAAAAAAGAACACGTCCCCTGATGCGCTCTGCAGTAGCATACCAGTACTCGAGTACAGTAGACCATACTGTGCACTACGGGAACTGCAAAATATACACGCGAAATACATGTGCTGCAGTCCACTGAAACCACCGGTACTCGTACCATACCGGTATTCCCCACCCGCCAAAGAGATACTCGAGTACCAATCCACCCCACTCCTTCCTACCGCAGTTGGGCTGTCAAGTTTTCCTCCAAACAAAGGATAAACTTTATCCGGCTACACCCCATCATATCACCACCGACCTAATATCCACCCCCTCTCCTTCCCCTCTTTCACAATACCGGAATACCGGTAGAACCTCCTCCCCCCCTCCCCAACCGCCACAGCGCAGCTCATGATATACCTCTGCCGTCAGTCTCTCCCCGAAGAAACATGACGTCAATCGCGCACTCTCTAGCGCAACCGAGTGACCGATCATGGACGTAAGCACAGACCAGAAACCAGTCAACCAACCACGTACCACTACCGGTATTTTCTCTCGCTTCCTTTCTCCTGATCACAGTACGAGTAGTCTCCCGGCGCCGCATAACGCTAGGAACAAGTGACGGTTTACCAGTTTTAGCGGAAGCGTGTCAAAAGCGAAAGAAAAAAAAAAAGAAAGAAAGAAAAAAAAGTGGGAATTAAGCGAAAGATAACTTTATGCTTTTCAGCGGGGCGGGGTTGGGTTCGTGATGCGATACTAGTACGAGTAGTCATCCCGATACCTTACCATGAGTCTAATCTTAGTAATCATTACACAGGCGCACGATAGTCTAGTCACCGGGGACCATGTGCTTGCGCCTGGGTGTTTGCGATTCTACCCTACAGTGGACCCAACTCTTTGAAAAAGGCTTTGCGTTGGAGCCAGGGCGTTGTTTTTTGGGGGGAGAGGATTCAAGCGGTACTCGTATCATATGCTGGTGAGGATGTGCTTGCTCGCTCGGCCGGTTGGCGGGGTGGGATTGGCCGACTTTTGAACTCACGGGGCAGAGATTTTTTACATGTGATGTCACTCGTCTTATGGTGGTTGTGTACAAGTACGGGATCGGAGGGCGTTATCTGTGCCTGTATCATACTCGCAGATGAATGCGACTTTCGCTGCACTGCGCGGTATTGGTGATCGGGATGAGGTTCCGTGTAGTATAATACCCTTCGGGATGGTTAGTCGTGGCATGTGCCATCACTCGGTTTGGTCACTTTGGTGGCTAGGTTTTCATGGGTGGTTCTCACTGGCCATCGCCCGGTGGTGGTGATGGGTAGGTTTAGATGGACAGATCTGGATCATGCGTGCCAACACTCTACAGGTTGAACTCAAGTGCGCCATGGTATACCGGTATGTTGGTAAAGGTGTTTGAATCAAGCGGATTGGGAAACGCCATAAGGTATCATCGCCCTGAGGAAACTTGCCAGGGAAATGTTGTTGTGATGTGAGGACGACGTGCTGTGCGAGTACCGTGTACAGTATATACGTTGGGTATGACGGGAATTGTTTCATTCCTTGAGATGAGAGACTTTCCCATCGCCGAGCATATCAAGTATGGCATCGTAAAATCTCAGATAAAACGGGCTATGTCGTTCGAGTCGCCGCCTCCTCTGGTAGGGTCTGGTATTATATTTTATATATATTTTTTTATGCAATTTAGCTACGGTAGGGAAGGAAATGTTGGTCCAATTCTGCACGGGGGGGTTTTTTTTTTGCTCGATACGATTGGAGACTTCTAGGAGCTCAAATCATCTCGCCCCTTGCTTAGACCCCAGACCTAACTTATGCCATTCTAGTTGGCCGCGCTTTGTCTGCTCGTACAGATCTCCTGCATCTGCTGGCTCGCTGCTTGAGTGCCGTAGGCTGGAGTCTAGTCTGAGTTCCAAGCTCCTTGCGTTCGGGTGGGGCGGTGTGGGAGATGAATCCCCTCATATCATACGGCACACGGGAAACAGCAATCTCGACGAATGCGGAGCAAAGAGCAAGAAGTGTTCCGTAATGTTGTGTTTATCTTACGAACACGCTCCAAATAGGGTTAAAACTTGGAAGATACTCGGCTCGACAAGCAGCGATGATCACAGTCAATTTCGTTTCCTCCATCGAAATCCCAGCCGGTACTAGTGGCGCCCGAGGAGATTTGTTGTATACTCGAGTATAGTATCAAAGTTTTAAGCTTGTGTTCTGGATCGAGGGGGAAAATAAAAGAGGCGGTTTTGTTGTTTACTAATATTCGACTCGGGCACCGTATCCTCTAATCGGTTCTCTAGCCCGGAGAATCCGATATTGACTGCACGTATCCTAACAGAGAGGAGCACCTCCGTTTCTGGTGGGTCTCCATGTGATTTACTGTGGGTGGAATGTTTCATCAGCTGCAGCTGAGTAATGGGGTTGTTCCATATCACATGAATACGCACCTCGAGTGTTATGATAGTCGGACGTCAGGCCTGTTGCGATTGGGTGGCGTAAAGGTCTGGTGTTGTATAGTATTTTGGGGAGAGATGTCCTGCCGCGGTATAAATGGGGTATCGTTGGGGAGCGTTTTGTTGTATCACACCCATCCCTCATCGAAATATGCCTGGGTAACTCCCTTTCTCTGTAAACCTGCCGTGCATCGTTGGGCGGATGGGAGATGCCTGCTTCATGTTACTGATAATCGTGGTTTCTTCTGGCGGTGTGACTTGTCTGTGAGTATGGTGCCGGTATGATATCGTGGGTGGGAACTCCCCTGAGGCATTGGAAACGATATTGTCCAGGTTTGGGCTGGGGGGGTGTTGAGAGTTCTTACGACGGGCTCGATGGAGAGCCGGCTCTTGCAAAGAAATCAATGGCTGGGATAATTTTGGATAAAGTCTGTTCTAATGCCGAGACCGCGTCGACTGTGTTTTGTCTTGTCTCAGCAGTGTTACCATCGAGCTGTTTATGGGGATTGGGATTCTGGCACGGTCGGGGCAAGTATTGCACGCACAATGGAGTGGGTGTGGTTGAATACCATTGAGGCTGAAACACGCCAAGACTTGCTGTCGTCCTTTCGCGACTCTCCATCCACGCAGCATCCACCGCTCACGATCCAAACAATCTGTCCTCACCTTGTCTCCCAACACCACTTCCTCTACCACCTTCCAGTAGGTGCAATGTCTTCGTTTTCCCCCTCACCAAATCCCAATCCACTAGCGCAGTATCAGAGCCCTCAGAATGTTCAAAACACTCCGACACCTCCTGGGCCTCACGCTCAACAGCAGCAACAGCAACTAGCTTCCTCCTCCATGCCGCCTCCCTCGGCGCCCGCCTCTAGACCAACCGATCCAACCGATCTCGCAGACGCCCTAACATCCGCCGGTATTGATCTTAAGGAGGAGGAAGCTCGCCTGCATATCGAATCGAACGTTTCATCGCTTCCTGAGGACCAGGCAATTCGCATCGTCCAACGCCGCTACGCCGAATCCCGTGCAAATCATCTCAACAACCCTTTCCTCGAGGCGCCCGTTCTCGCAAATCGACTGCTCCGGAAGACCCGTGAAGCACAGTGTCAACAGTTTACCCTCACAAACAACGCTGGTCAGGTGATGACAACCGGCACCCAGGCCGACACTGTCGCGCTTTTGAGTCTTGCGGCTAGGGAGAGAGTGAGCCAGATTCTTACGAGGGCTGTTGTGCTTGCGAGGTCACGGAGAAAGGCTACGAATGTTGTCATTGGGGATTGGGCGGATGCTGTTAAGGATGCTACTCCGGATAACCAGGATAGCATGGTCTCCCCGCATACGACCAGTTTGAAGAGATCCTTTTCTTCGATTGGCGGGCTACCACCTACCCCCAACCCGGCTACCACTACAACTACACTCACCAACGAGGCGGCGAAAGCATTACGCAAGCTGCAACAGGACGAGTATGCCAAAGAGCTGGAGCGTCTTCATAAGAAGGCCAAGAAAAGCGGCGATGCCATTACCGGGCAAATCGCCACCGGTGCGATCCCTTCGACACCAGGCACTCCCTCCGCCATGAATTTCGCCGAGTCCGGCCCTCCCACCCCCGGAGCGGACTACATGAGCGAGCGAAAATTCTCAGCGAAGGAGAGCAAAAAGGCACGAGAGACGAAACTCGATGAAGCCCAGACGCATAGGGCCGCGAACAGCACGGCAAATCTGATGATGAGCAAAATAGGATTTGGTCACGGAAAGAAAAAGAAAACCTATGCTTGGATGGCGGATCACAGTAACGCCGCGGGTGCTTCGGCTTTGGCGTCTCGGCGTGCCGTTGATGGGGATAGTCTCGTGGGTTCTATTGATGGTACCGGCGCTAGCGGTGGGGGGCAGCAGCGCTGGAACAGTGGACAGAGGCTTGGAGCATGGAGGGAAGATGGAGAGAGGGGCGGAGGTGTGCAGATGAGGGATTGGATTGGGGCGTTGGAGGGTGATGGTAGGGGGATCAAAAAAGGTCTAGTCAAGTCCTATCTTCAAATGAAGTAAACGGAATGCTCGAATTTGCCTGGGAGGGGGTGGGGGCTGTATACTAACAAAATGTTTCTAATGCACTGTTTTCCTTATTACTTCCTGTCTTGTAATCTCATTTGCTTGTGGAGTTTGGGAAATTGGGGAATGGGCAGGGGTTAGAGATTATCCAAATAAATAACTTTCAAAGTCACTTCTGCAGTCGGGTGTTTTATCATTATTCCTTCCACTCTAAGTACTTGTACTATGATGCATGTCGTAGCGGTTAAAGTGTCTGCGTCCCTTGCAGCAATGGATGGGTGCCCCCCCAGGCCCTACCAGCGCTCTTGTCTACACATGCTCCGTCACTCGAATCAATTGTCAATCGCATTGAAATACACGTGACCTGCGCTTCAACTCCATGTCATTTGAGGCTCTCGTCGCGTTCCCCCTTCAACAACCGAGCTCGAACGATACCCACCCGCAACCCAACCAACAAAAAAAAGGGAGAGAAAGAAATGACCGACGTGATGCTCCCGGAAGAGCTCCTCACAGCTCTGAACGAGCGATTCCCCTGCCGTGCGCCCCAAATCCGCCGTCTTGCAGCGCTAGTGGGAACTGACGAAACACCCAGCCCTCCCGCCTTGGTCCTCCACGGACTAGAAGCAACTGGGAAGACTACTATCCTGCGCGCTTTCCTGGACAGAACTGAAGCTTCGTACACGTGGGTTGCCTGTCATGAGTGCGTTACGGTGCGACAGCTGGTGGAGCGTATCAGTGCGGGGGTTACGGAGAGTGTTGGGGGTGGTGATGATGCCGGACGGGCGGGAGATGTGTGTGCTCTTGGAGTGAGGCTTTCTGTGGCGCTGAGCGGTGCTGAGCGGAAGCATTTTTTGGTGCTGGATCGTGTTGATAGGACGAGGGAAGGGAGTAGTGTGCTGTTTGCTGCCCTGGGGAGGCTGGGAGAAATGGTGTGTTCTCTTCATATCTGGCTGCTATCTACGGTACTTTAGGCTAGGCATGTACTAATCCCCCACTGCGCAGATCCCGAGCCTGACAGTGATCTTTATCCTCTCGGTACCAAGGCCTCGCTTCTTGAGCTCCGCAGAGCCCCCACACATCCACTTTGCTCCCTACACGAAAGAAGAAAGCATAAAGGTCCTTTCAAAGTATGTCCGACGAATACCCTTCCAGGACATCGAGGAATACACGGAAGAGGATGCAAAGGAGGAACTCTACGTCTGGCAGAAGTTCTGCGGAACAGTGTGGGACTCACTGGCCAAGGGGACGGCCCGGGGCGTCGTGCAGTTCCGAGCCATCGTCGATGATATGTGGGAACCGTTCGTCAAGCCCATTGCGGAGGGGAAGTATGGGACGAGGAATTACTCGAGTTTATACCTTTTGCATAAGGATATGTTCCGGCGGGAGACGGACGTCGTTGATATGGTGGTTCCAGCGGGGGCTGGGGAGAAGGCTGCTACTAAGAGTGAGTCCACTGGGAATCCTCCATGCGGTGAGGGAGCTAAATGAGAATCAGTACACGACCTCCCATATTACTCCAAATTTCTCCTCTGCGCAGCATATCTGGCATCATACAACCCCGCTCGCCAAGACGCAACATTCTTCATGAAAAGCAACGACTTTGGCAGAAAAAAGCGACGGGGCGGTACCACCGGTCCCACCAAGCGTACTGCGAAAAACCGAAAAGTATCCTCCCCCTCCTCCCCTCCTCCCAGGCTTAAACGACTGACACCACGCACCATAGATCCATAGAAGGCTCCTCGGCCCCCAAGCCTTCCCACTAGAACGTCTTCAAGCGATCTTTGCGGCAATACTCCCACACAGGTTATCCTCATCTGCAGATATACAGACGCAGATTGCAACATTGACGAGCTTGAGATTACTCACCAAGGCTTCGGCTACCGATGTACTTGAGGCTAGCACCAAATGGAGGGTCAATGCTGGGTGGGATTATATCAGACATATTGCTAGGAGTGTTAAGTTTGATATCGAGGATTTTGTCGCAGAGTAGTGCTGTGTGTGTGGGGGCAAGGTAAGGAGAGGGGGAGGGGTAGTGGTGGGGGTGTTGGTTAATATTGCGGGAGGGAGTAGAGTCAATTGCTAGTTTTCTTTCCCTTATCCTTTTGGCTCTTGCGTCATGGGTGGCTTCCTCTATTAGTGTTATCCGGGGATGGGGAGGGGGGAGGACGCTCGAGCGATTGGAGTGTCGGCCTTTTGTGGGGGTGTTTAATAGAAACTTGCTGCACTGTAGACCAAGTATGAATGTAAAAGATTCTGATATCCTCGTATGATGGTGACCGTAGATTGTAACCTAGTCCGACCGGGGGGAGAAAATTGGAAAGGAAGGAATCGGGACAAATGGAGATGGACCAACGCAAATGCGGCCATCCCTCGAAATCCGCGATTTCACCAATTGACATTGACAACCTCTGGCGGCGTGGTGGTGTTGGTAGTTCCCATGTTGTTCCAACCATCTGACTGCAGAAACGCTCCGACAGCCTACCGCCATGGTATTTCACTTTTTGCCTTTTTACCTGACAGTAATCCTGTAATTTTCACAAGCTACGCGTAATTTCCTGCCCTGTGTTTCTCTTTGGGTATAAGTACCGGTGAGTTAGCATCTCCCAACTTCGTCAAGTAACAACACAGCTCCCCCAACCACACCTGAACAAAAAGAATAATGGCAACAAAAATCTTCAACCTCCGCCAATGCCACAAATCTATGGCCTGGACGCCAAAGCTCAAGTACCGTCCCTTCCAGCCACCCTACATGCACCGCAGATCCAATTTTACCAATACGGAGTACGAGCCGGAAGATGAGAGTACCTGCACAGGGGATCATCCACCAAAGACAAAGCTGGTATACTATCTATTTCATTATCTCTGATCCAACTAATGAGTTCCATGCTAGTGGGAGTTTGTTTTGAGAAATGATGGCCGTCTCGGCTCTCTCGAAAAAGTTCCCTCCTTACCTATGTTTGCTTTGGTCTACAGATCTCTGACTCTGATTATTATAGCAAGTTAAAGACGTGGAGATAGAAAGATATCAAGCAACCAATCAAATCGACAGCAGAATGAGTAAAGGTTTCTCTGACGTGGGGAGCAATGTCTCGGAGGTGAAGAGAACCACGGACCGCCTCGAGGCAAAACTCGGTTTCATACAGTGGCAATTAGGTCTCGTTGGCACCGCCATCCTTGGTTTCTTTGGTGTAAGTGACTATCTATGTGCTCATATTTTAGGGCGCGTCTGGTCGTCCCGAGTTTTTCAAACCTTGATAATCACAAAACCTGATTTGCAGGCTGCAACTGAAATAATCGCAAGTTGTTATAATTGGGAGTTTTCACACTCCTAGAGGTGTGTCTGGTCGCCTGAAAAAATTAATTCTAAAAAGGTCACTTAAAAAAATCAGAATAATTCATGTGTGAAACACATTGGCACCTGTATTTCAATACTTATTTTTTTTTAATTTTTTTACTTCCACTATTGGTAGTGGGAGTGGGTTATTGGAGCCAATGCGTGCTGCTTCAAAATGAGAGTTTGTGAAATACTGGTCAGACCAGTATTTCAGAAACCTTCATTTTGACATCATTATTGCGTTTTGAATATTGTGTTTTGGTGTTGACCAGACATGCCACTCAAAAGCAAAATAGCATTTTGTGACAAACCTTCATAACCGGGGTCAAAATGAAGGTTTGAGGTGGCAACCAGACGCGCCCTTAATTCATACTAACGCAGTGCTTGGCAGTTCGTGGGATATGGGGGAAAAAAGCTGATGGATATCTATATCCCCCAAATTGCCCCAGATATTCCTCACGTACCGACAACCGTAATGTCCCATAACAAACCGCTCGCTGGCATATCACTAATGTGTTATCTGCAGGGAGGCACCAGTAATTCCAGTAGCGGGGCTGGCAAGGGGTGATTGAACGCTGTTGGTTGTACGGCAGGACTTCCGGCATCGGGTAGGGCAGGGGGTGGCGCAGCCTTTTTTTTTTGTTTGTGCTGAGGACTTTGCTGGCAGGGAGTTGAAATACATGGTTGTGTATGGGGGGCTGGTGGGGGCATGTCGCTTTGTTAAAATACTATTATCCAGTGCGGCTCGTGCTGCTGCAAGTCCCGCCATAGAAATAAAGGAATTCCATTACCCATCACATCTCAACCGTCACCACGAACTCCATCCTCCTACTACTAACTATAATACATTATCACCCAGCAGCTGGTGATTATGTATGAAGGAACAGTAGGAGACTGCCGCTGTCACGCATTTGAGTTCTGATACTATACCATTCCTGTTACGAGCACATGTTGGATACCGGCATGGCCGGGGAGCGCCGTATGATATTGTGGCTTGCGACGCCTGACGTCCAGCATGATGAATTGGTTAATAATGATACAAGTTATTGCTTATGATACAATACTTTCAGTTGCTGGCTGACTTATCAGTGCAGGCAGAGAGAGAGAGAGTTTACATTAGATTACGATATTTTGTTCATTCATTGGATTCATTTACCATTGCCTTTTTCTTCTTTCTCCCTCTGTTCGGCTCGTCGTGGTTTGGTGTGGGGGGGGGATTGTATGATATATATATATACAATATGATATGTCCCCCTCCCGGCCACACATTTTTTCTGTAATGCGATTTTTCGGTTCGTGGATAGATATTGATCCTGCATTTGTTGGTGTTTTCCTTCATACTATCCCTTTCTATCTCCCCGCGTTACGCTTCTATGATACTGGCCACTCATATAATACTAAAGTGAAGGATCTGGAAGTAAGTTACTCGGTGGGCTTGGGATCTTCACTCTGCTCAACGGTGACGATAGCGGTGATGCGAGTGTCGGGAACATCCGTCACGGGTCTGCTCCCGAGTGTGGTCTCCGCTGAGCGTAGTATAAACATGGAATTTGTAGCGTCGTCTGGACGATAGGAATGGTTAAAAGAGAAAGGAAAAAAAAAAAAAAAAAAAATAGTATGATAGGAAAATTATTACTTCGTGGGAAGTGATTTTCTCCCTTCGAAAGAGAACGTGGTCGTCACTTTCTAATCTGGGGCGTAGGTTCCGTAACGTACGGTATTATCATAGATGCAGCAGCGTGGAGCGCAGTATTATATACCAGCACAGTACACCATCTGCATAAAAAGGTGTTCAACTTCATTCACCTTGTTGGCCGGGCAATTCGTAGGAGAGAACACGGCGCAGTGTTTTACTTTGAATTGAGCTTGATACGGTGGAACTGAGGAAGAGGTGCGAATATAATAGTTATCGTGCTATCATGGTACCGAAAACTTACCAAGCGGACGGTGTGATATGATATACACTAACTTACTACCGGAATCCTGCACTTTGGAACTCTGGCGACCGCGGCACTTCTTTTTTTTTTTTACCGTGAGGTTGTAGAGTACTGTGCGAGGGGGTGCTTGATGGCTACCTACCTGTACATTACTGTACAGCGTAGAACGTATGTAACTTAGATGTGATAATATCACATATATGAATGAGTTGGTTGGTTGGTTGGTTGAACATGCCGGACGTTGCCACGTGAGGGTACAAGTACAGTACAGTATGCACCCTACTATAATATTAAGGCCCTGTTTGGCGCGCAACCATATAAAAAGATGCCATATTTCTGAAAACAGCATATCTTTTAACAACACAACCATACTAACTCAATAGTAGAATTCCGGGCCATAGTCAGTGGGAGGGAATCACACTGCTCATTCAGGCAGAAATAAAAGACAATTCAAGTACTTCTAGTTGAGCGGTTTGAAAAATAGTGATGTTGCAAAATACAACATCTCCGGTAACCTCCATATTTTCCAATATCACTAGTTTTCCAACCTCTCAATTAGGAGTAGTAAAATTGTCTTTTATTTTTTTAACAAAATCAGCGGAGCGATTCCCTCCCACTGACAATGGCTGGAAATTCTACTATTGAGTTGGTATGGTTGTGTTGT